CTCACTGTCAGGAAGTTTCTCCTTAGTTCTAGATTGCTTCTCTCCTTGATTAGTTTCCACCCGTTGCTTCTTTTCTCTATCTCTTCAAAGGACAAGTCAGAGATTTCTGGGATACTATTTGGTCTCTGGCTGATATTCCTGGCTTCCTTCCTTTACTATGTTTTATCCCTTTTCTAACCTTTTCGGCTTTCTGTGCTGAATCCTTTGCCAAGGATTCTATCCCTATCTCTGCTTGATGGTGCTGAATCCAGAATCTTGTTGAGGGTGGCAGTTGCTCTAATACAACTTCGCCCATTATTTCCTACTTGCTGTGTATTTCTGACTTTAGTCATTTCTTACTTAATCTACCCAATGTGCAATTTTCGTAACTCCTTACCTCATACCTAAATAATACAGCTCCCTTAACTCTACTATAATGAATAATCTCTTGAGCAAGAAGTCCTGTAAGTGCCCTCAAGCCTTTTCAGTTTAACAGGAAACTAATCTAACCACTCATTCCTCTTTCAGCCATTTGCAAGTTATTGTAAAACATTCAAATGTTATAAAAAGGGGATTCAATATTCTCCTCGTCTTTGAATTTAGGTAAGTTGACAGTACACTGTAAGATTCCAGGCTATAGAGCCAAACACTAGAAGATAAATAATATGATTGATTCGTTGATCAATTATGTGCCGTCAAGTCAGTGCCAACTCTTAACAACCACATATGTAGATTTTCTTCATGACAGTTTGTCTCTAACTTGTTCTTTTAGGTCTTCCAATGGTGCATGCATTATCACTGTAAGTGAATCTGTCCACCTTGCTACTCATCATCCTCTTCTCTTTCCTTGCACCTTTTCTAGCATCAAACCTCCTCCAGAAAGCTAGGTCTTCACATAATGTGTCCAGAGTAGGATAATTTGAGCTGCTCATTTGTACCTTGAGTGACAACTTCAGATTAATTTGTTCAATGTTCTGTTTGTTTATTTTCTTGACGGTCTACAGCAGGGGTGTCAAACTGCCAGCCCGCGGGTGGCAATGTGGAAAAAAGTCATGATACGTCATGACACGTCACGTGACGCGGCGAGTTTGACACCCGTGGTCTACAGTCAAGTTTAATCTTGCTTCTTCAAAGTTCAATTTTTGGTTTGCACTATTTTGATCTTTGTAAGTATCAACATATCACAATATCTCTTCCTAAGCTTTCATGAGTATACCACCAAGTGCTAGTCAGTGGTGTATTTCTTGACTACTTATTCCTTTACTGTTGATTGTTGATCCTAAAAGGCAGAATCTGTCTACCATTTTAATATTTTCATTATTAATTCCAAAGCTGGTTGTTGGAATTTGGGTGGTCTGAATTCTATGCTGCATAAGTATTCTGGAGCATTTTCTACAAGAGGGCCAGTAATTGATTCTTGAGGTATATATTAAAATAAAGCTGATAGGTCTCCTGCTTCCTTCTGTGGTTATTGTTATTCTTGGTAAACAGGAAACAGATGAATTATTATCCCTTGAGATTGTTTGTTGTCTTTACATATTGAACTTGATTCAAGACGATCTTTCTCTCAAGCCCAAAACCCAGAATGACACATGGCAGTTCTTCCAAGCTGTCTTCTTTATTAATTTACACCTATAGATATTTTTTTCCAGACTAAGAACTCTGCTATCTGCATATATAATATATTCTGTGAACTGTTAGGGAGAGGAGGTCTTCACCCTTTTACCCTCACACATAATATCTGGACTGAGTTGCCTCTTATTCCTCTGGAATGTACCACCTCCATCCTGGGGTTCACCTCCTCATTACATTCCATTACACTTTAGAATAGAATAGAGCTGGAAGGGACCTTGGAGGTCTTCTAGTCCAGCCTCCCGCTCAAGCAGGAGAACCTATACCATATCAGACAGGTGACTGTCGAGACTTCCGGTGGCAGGCGACTTCGTCGGTCGCAGCTGTTTGCTGCCTCCCGCCTGTTTCGCGTAAAAGCCGGTTTGACAGCTAGCATCAGCTGTCAAACGGCTTGATACCCTTCCCCTGGGCATAAGGGGATAGGTGAGCTGCCCGGGGTAGGAGTTGAGTTCCCGAGTCGTCCTATATGGACGATGTAGGTGAGNCTTCGGCGAAGCTAGAAGCCGCCGCCACTGCTGCAACTTAAAGTTAACTGTGAGTTTTATTTGTAAGCAGACGAACCAACCTTGGAAGCTTGCTTTTTATTTTGGACTTTACTCTAACTTGGATAATAAGTTCTTCCCCGTACTTGTGTTGGATTGAGGAAAAGTGAATTTAAAATGGCGATGGATTGATACTTTTCAGCAAGAAGTGAAAGTGATTTCCGGTTTGTAACTTTTGCTACTTTGAATCTGCGTATTGTTTGTTTTGGCTGAATTGCCTACAGGATTTTCTTATAATTGGAAACTTACTGCTAATATGGCTTTGAGAAAAATTGTGCCTTCAACTTTAAGACCGATTACATCCCTGATGTCCCAGTCATCTCAATTAACTTCTAAAATTTTCCACTTGCCACCCTCGTTATCTTTTTCACCTCCACCGCCCCTTGGCAGAGAGTTGCAGGACTTGGTGTCCGTAACTATTAAGCAAATGACTGAGATGTTCCAATTGATTGATGTTAAAATGCAAAATAGATTTGATCAAGTGATGCAACAACAACAGGACTTATTACAACAACTACAAGACTCATCACAGAAATATGAGGATTTTTGCTTGAACGTTACATCTCAAGGTTTGGCTGAACAAGTGGATGCGGTGGCAGTGGATGAAAGCTATCCACATCCTGATTATGATTTAATACTGGAAAAAGTATTTGAAACTACAGAAGACTTTAAAACTTACTGGAAATCCTGGAGAAAACTTAAAGAGACTATATTGGAACCTCACATTGACTCTTTAAAAATGAATCAAGTTGTGGAACAAGGAATAATAGAAGAGGAACTGAGTAATCCTGAACAGGCTTTTATATATCAAGACACACAATTTAAAGAGACAGAGATATCATGTTTACAACCTAATGGTGAATTTATACTGGGAGAAAATGTGGAAACCATCAAGCCAATTAACTTCATACAAAGCTACTTATATCTGTTGGATAAATTTGATGATCAACAACTAATTGTAATTGACTCACCTCAATTGCTAAAAACAACAAAGATTGATACCCAGATACAATCTTCTAGGAAATACAATAAAGTGGATAACAATTTATTCATAATATTGAGTAAAAATTCATATAATACTCAGATGATATTGGTAGAAAGGGAAGAAAATTTTGTTCAGTTTGAATTGATTAGAAAGTTTTGTAATCAAATCTTGAGGTTTGATAATCGAAAGGCTTTAATATGGGAATTAACTTGGCATAGAAAGAAAGCTAGAGTCAGGTATAAACGTGACATCAAATGTTATCTAATGGGTTAAAAAGGTTTTAAAGGTTTTTTTCTGATTTAATAATGAATGAAGGATCTGGACTTATTGTTAATGTATTTTTTTTTTTTTGGACATATATTACTATTATAAATATGATAATTATGCTGTAATAATTGAATCTGTTTGACTTAACTATGAATGGATGGGAATCAAGGTCCTAAAGGTCTTTTTCTGATTTAATAATGGTTGAAGGATATGGACTTATTGTTAATGTATTTTTTTTTCTTTTTGGACTTATATTATTATTATAAATATGATAATTATAATTATGTTGTAATAGAGAGGAAGAGTTTTGATTTAATTAGAAATGGATGGGAATTTTTTGATACTATAATTGATAAGTAATTGAAGTTGTAAACTTTATTAAGGGCTTAAAATGATTTTTTATAGGTGTAGTTTGATGAAATGACAGAATTTATTTCTTAATTTTATGGAAGATGGGAATTTTTTCTCTCTTTTTTTTTTTTTGAATAAGTAAGGGATGGTGTTAAAGTATCTTGCTGAAATGGTAAAGATTTTGGTGTATCTGAAGAGTTAATTAAATGAATAATTTTTATTAATACGGAGGAGATGGATTGTTTATAAGAAGTATAGAGTTTGTGGAGTTAGAGATATTTATTTATTTTATTTATATTTGGATTTATATCCCGCCCTTCTCC